GAATGTAATCACACTTGGGTCGATTTACCCGCCCATCCTACGCAACGTAAGAAACCCACCTCGATAGCTCAGTTGGCTAGAGTGTCGGCTGTACTCGAGCCTTTCCTTGCTGGTGTGGGTTCAAATCCCACCGAGGTCGCCGAACTTTTCACAATTGGGTCAATTGAATTCTGCAAATCTACCAAACCCCTCCTAATAATTAAATGTGCCTGGTAGTCATCTGGTGGTTGTTATGTTGATTGCTTAGAAATTCCTGTTTGGGTAGTCAGCTTACTGTATCGGTATAGGTATTTTCCTCACGTTACAGGAGGCTGGGCGGGTAAATCGACCCAATTGTGATTAAATTGACGGCCGTGGTGGGGCCCTGATAGCTCAGTTGGCTAGAGCGTAGGCTGTACTCAAGCCTTCCCGTACGGACGTGGGTTCGAATCCCGCCGAGGCCATCGCATTTTTCCCTATTGGGCCAATTGAATTATTCAAATGTGTCAAACCCCTTGTATTTGTCGACAAGAACATAGTGGTTTTATAGTTCAACGAAGAGGAATACCACTCGTCCGCTACACCCCTTCCTCTTTGCCGAACTACAGAAGCCGCTGTTGCACGCTCATAGTCTCTGATGATGGCCCCTTGTACGAGGCCGAAAGTTCCGACAAATACTGCCAAGGTGATAACGTGTTAATCTTTTTTTGCAAAAAATTCTTATTTACACGTTGCAGCAACCGATACTTGTCTCTCTAACGCTAGTGATGAAGTTCTCGATAGCGCAAAGGAAAATCTTGCTCGAATTAGATTATAGCGTGGGTAGCGCACCTAACTCTCGCTTCAGCCAGTCGTTCTGTTGAAAAGGCAAAACAATGTAGGTACGTTGGATGACAAGAATCAGTCTACGCCAAAATACGCCGTGTATGTGTGTAAATCAGACCTCAAATAGTACTAGAAATGAGAATAGAGGCTGCATTAGGAAGAAGCGGTTGCAGCTTGACTCTCGGCTTAAAGGAAAGCTCGAAATATTTGAATGTTCTACATTTGGTGCATGGTTATGGTTTATAAGCGCTCCAGATCTGCATCAAATATGTTCCGGAACGGCCACATTTTCCCTCTGTCATCGTACGTCAATGGTAATTTCAATTGAAACGGACTGAAGATAAAACAAGAGCAACGTACAATATCCGCGTGATAGGTTTGACAGTGCGGTGCCAATTGTCCTCCGTGAACCCCGATAAAAGAGAACGATTATAAGTCGGCTATGTATGTGGATCTTAGAAGGCTATCGTGCAGGTCACACGCGGCAGCTAGTTTTCATCGAACCGGTAGTTTGCTAGAGCTTCCATTAACATTTCATTGGGCTATATCCATTCGGAAACCAACTTGTAGTAGCTCCATGCAGTCCAGACGAGTGATCAATCATATCGAAAGAAGAGAGAAGTAAGGAATTACTGTTTATGCTCAATTAATCTGGCTCTTAATCGGTCGCGGTCTATGCAACAAAAAGGCAGATACCAATAGTTAACATATTCCGTCTATTCCAAGATCGTATCGCCATTTGATACCCCCGCAGCAGACTAGTATCGCTCCCATGTCTTATTCGTTCTCAGCGTGGACTGCGTATCTTTTGTAATCTTCGACGATGGCTTTTATAATTCTGGTTCAAATGTATGGACATTGCGTAAAACGATTGCGTTTCTGATCCGAGGTGGGCGCAGACGTGCTCACAATGGTGTCCGATATCTCCACGGTCGGTTTATCTGGGACGACTATCTGAAGGCGTTCAGGAGCTGATTCCTATGCTTTCATTTCGGAGGATCCTATCAGAAATAGCACCTAGGGTCTAGCATGTGCTGCTATACACCAAGGACGTGTCAGGGGCGACCGAGCGTATTTCCTCGGGAGTAGATGTCGGAATTGCACATTGGCCCAGGCCTGCTCTGCGCAGCAGAAGCATGACAATCGGGGACCGATTAACTCCCAGTAAGCAGTTGGGTGTAATATGTAGGGGTCTAAGTAATGGTTGTGCCTAGATCACTACAATCATCAGGTCGAATCCCAGGCTGGAGGTAAAAAGGCAAGAGTCACCACAATGAAGGTTTTATTGTGTACAGAACCCTGAGTTGCTATCTCAGGCAGCAGTGGCTACTGGCGAAGCCAGGGCTGGTGTTGACTGCGTCCAGTCGTGCCCGAGAGTGCCGACTGAGTGTTGTGTACGTTAGGATTCTTTCATCACCCGAACTTCGGTCTGGAAAGGGAGCGCTTTTGGTGACTCACTCCGCGCAGGCAAGCATGTGTCAAGACTCACCGCCGCCAACAAGCACATATGCACTAGCCGAACACGCCCGTCCACCTAGACAATCCGTCTGACCAATCACCTGTCAAGGCTGACTCACGCAAAGACCACTCCAGACGCTGTGGCGATTCCTATAGTTACCTTTAGACGCGGCGCTGTGGCCGGCGGTTGCTCGCTCGTTAAGGTGAAGTTGATCGGGTCTCCGTGCGTGCTCTCGTCAGCTGTCATGATCATTATGGTTGCCCTATACGCGTACGAGTCTGAAGCGTTAGGAAGCCGGACATTCCTCCTTTGTATTAATTCTAAGGTTACAGATATTCATTTGTCTGTGCAAAAAAGTAAAGCTTTACAAACCATGTAAATGAGACTGCGATATGGTACTA